AGGGGCCCTGGAGCCTCAGTTTCCCATTTCTTCCTCCTAACCCACCCACCCCACTCATGGGGCTCTATTAGAGTGCTTACCCAAACTCCTGTTAGCCTTTTCCCTAAAAGATTAGCATGCAACACGACTCCAGGTAGTTAGAGCACCCAGTATCGGATTATCCAATAAACAAGGTCAGTACAAGATAATGAGTGTTTACTTACGAACCTGCAGTAATTTCCCATCTATGGCCTGTCTTTCTCCCAACCCCGCCTCCCTGTCTCACAGCATCAACGCCTCCTTTCGAATTTATAACAAAGTACCCAGGAGGGAAAGTAAGCGGGGCTTAATTGTGCAGACTTAGAGTTTCCCATGTTTTCCCACCACATCAAAGGAGATGTCTCTTAGCCTGGAGTCTTGGTGCTCGGCACCCCACAAAGAACTGCGGGACATGAATCCTGCTCCTACATCTGGCTGAAGGGTGCTCACCAGCCATACTGAGCTCTCAGGTGAGCCAAATCCCCTGCGCTGCCAGGGCCCACACTTCAGTTGGCCGTTCAGGTCTTGGCGCTCCCTCCCTGTGCCTGCCTCATCCTCCAACTTGATGAGCAGGAAACACTAAGCAATGCACATTCCTGGTGTCCAGGGAAAGGTGCTAAATCCATACAACCCAACGACCAGACTGCAGAAGTGCAATTCTGCTGCGATGCCTCTGGATGTGTTCTGGGGTGTGCTTCTGGATGTGTTCTGAGGCTGCCGCGGTGAGTCCTCTCAATAGTAGCAACTCCTCGGCAAAGATGATCGCAGGATTTTGTTTCCGGTGGTCAGCCATCCCAAGATGTGTTCACCGCCGTAGGAGACTTTCAAGGAGATCAAGGTGGATAATGACCCATAGGGACTCCCAAGATCAAAGTCAGACTGGGACTCTCAAAGTAGGTGATACACAAAGGTGAAGGTGGGTGAACATGCGCACCAGGCAGAGAGAAGGTAATATCGAAGTCCGAGACGGTGGCACTTCTCCCAGAAACTCCCAAGGGGCAGGCGGCAGGGAGAATAACTGCAGATGCAATGAGCGTATGAGACCATCTCAGCGTGTGTTTGCAGTCGATCAGAGCCAGTAAGTGTGCCAACTGCTGTGCAGGGGTTTTTGTGTGTGCCATTCTTTCCCTTTTTGTTCTAAATTTCATTCTCCAAAAGAGTACGTTTTACATTAATCTTTTTGGAAAAGGGCAATATTTAAACCAAGGAATAAAGCACCAGTAATGGTATTTTGAGGATCGGGAGAAATAACTTTGGCACCTTCGATCCTACAGATTTATGCCTGGGAGGGCAAGTAAAGGTTTGCAGTGCAGAGGAGACTTGATACTCCCCTGTACACCACTTACATATCGCCAGACTTCCCGAACACCCTTGATAGGACTGTGGGAGAAATGGAGTCTGAGTATTACCTAATTTCCCCATAAATCTCAGGCCTTTTAATCAGCTAAGTGGCTAGCTGCTGAATTTCTCTGATTTATTGATATCTTTGGAGGGCCGAGGATATGTCCAGATACTAAGTGATTCAATGTGGATGAAGATGGCACATCTGCCTAATTGCCTAGGCAAGGAGAAGCGTGACTAGGCATCCAAAGGAGGGTGCAGGCAGCTTCTGCAAAGGGCAGGCGCCAAGCATGCAGAGAAAACTGCCCCATCAAATCCATTTTTTACACCAAAATCTTCACAGTTCCACTCACGAGAGGTGCATTCGCTGGCTCAACAGCTGTGCAAGAATTCACTGTGTCCAGATGGAGTGGGGACCTCAGGCTGCTAGCTCAACTGAAGGATTCCAACCCGGGACTCTGTTCTCAGCTTGTGAAAGATGGAGTTGGTACCTTTGTTAATGCGCCACCTGCTGGAGACGCCACTAATGAAACTCACCACCACCAGTCCATGCTGACTCAGGGACCCTTAGGGCAGGGTGGAACTCTGTTTGGGGGAGTAGAAAGCTTCCTATTTCTCCCGCAGGTGGTTTTGAACTGCCAGCTTTGCAGTTAGCAGCCCAATGCGCGTCATCACTATGCTACCAAGGTTTCTAGGGCAGGGAAGAACTGCCCTGTTGAGTTTCTGAGGACGTAACTCTGTAGGAACCCAAAATCTTGAACCTCAAATCCATTGGCAGAGTATCTAGTCAGATCAAGTCTCTGGCAGATCCCCTCTAGCCACAGGCAAGATAACTATCAGACATTATTGTAAACTTGATTATGGTGGATCAAACCATGGTATACTAGGTCAGTAGACCCCTCTCTTGACTCAACCTGAATTTGCTCTAGGCTCAAATATTTCTCGATTTTTTTCCATGACAGAAATTTCTTCTCTGGCTTTTAAAATATTATTAGTGGTCTTTTCTTTCTTGCTCTTTATTTTTATCTTTATGTAATTATTATTGTTTTCTTGTTTCTGTTTCACTTGTTTTTATTGTTTCTGTTGGGTGTCCCAGCTTATGAAGCACAGAAGGAGTGGGTGCATAGAGAAAATGGTTGATCAGGAAAGGGGGTAGGAGGTGGAGGGGGGAAGGTGAGGGAAATTGGAGAGCAATCAATAAATGTGGAAGGGGGAGGAAGTATTCGAACTGATGGTGATGATGTATAGACAACGCTTTTTAAAAGTGATTTAACTATGGAGAAAAAAGTGATTGTCTACTTCCAAATATCTAATACATGTCCAGTTCAGCTCAAAAAAGAAAGTCCTGTCTTTCTCTTGGGGCGTTGCTGATGGCTTCCAACTGCTGACACTGCAAATAGCTACCCAACAGTGTAACCACATGCCCCTGGGGCTGGCAATTCTGAGAAAATGGTACCAGGTGAGTGAGAAAGTTCACTTCCTGTCCACAAAAGGGAACTAATTTTTCAAAAAGCAAATCCTGAGAATGACATCCTACCAAATCCCTCTCTTCTTAGAGCATTACCACGGGTCAGTGACAATTTACTACATAATTTAGAGAACAATTTAGCAACTCAATTGTACTACCCAGTAGGGTGGTTGTTTTGTGGGGTTTTTTTAATGGCATGAGTATTTAGAAAATAATACTGAAATATCTAATAGGCTCAAAGAGATTAACAAAAGGTTCTCAATTTAAGAATGGGCAGTCTTTCAAAAGCATCTCTATGCCTCGTTCTTGAAACACACTTTCTTCTGGAAGCAGCACTACCAAGTCTGGGTAAACTCCCAGTCCTCACACATTCAAGTCAAGCTGCACAGCCCTCATGAAGTACTGAAGATCATTTAGTAGCTGCCTGCCATTCAGAACGCTACTGCTTTGGCACAGAGCAGCTGGTCTCTGTTCTATTTTGATATTTCTGCTCGATAGCCACCACGTCAGTTTGCTAGACTGTGTTGGCTCATGCGTTGTTTACCATGCTAGAAGCTATGCCACTAGTCATGTCAAATACCAGCAGATTCACCCATGGGAAAGCAGCTTTTTCAGCAGAACATCCCCTGAGATTGACTGGGATGAAAGGTCTGCTATTCTACTCATGAAGATGAGCTACAAGAACTCTGTGGATCACAACAAAATAGTGCTGGAAGATGAGCTCACCACCACCACTAGGTAAGGGGGGTGGGGGTGGAGGACAGGGCCACCATGGAGTCTATTTCAACACATAGGACCCTATAGAGCAGGGTAGAACTTCCCCTGTGGGTTTCCAAGCCTGGAGATCGTCAGGGAATAGAAAGGCTCATCGTTCTCCTTTGGTGGTTCCCAACTGCGGGCCTTGTGCTTTAACATCCCAACATGTAACTGCTGTGCCACCAGGGCTCAAGGATGGAGACTCAAACCACATAGTGGCCACAGCAATGGGTCTGAGCAGGCCAACAAGGGTGACGAGACTGCGTTTCACTCTGTACAAGATTTCTGAGACGTTCTTTTGTGTTCCTTTCTCTCGCACATTAATCTCTGCGAGGCCCACCTTTAAACTCCTCTTCATCCTCCCCCTCCCCCTCCCCCTCCTCCTCCTCCTGGAGCAGCGACACCCATGGAGCAAGACTGGGATGAAGGTAGATGGGTGGAAAGGGAGCGGAGCAGGATGGGGCAACTTAATATAACTACATTCATCTGTATAAAGCACCTTACTTTTCTCCCCTTAAATGTTATGAATTGAGATCAAAGGCAAAGGTTTATTTCATAAAGGGGCATGGGGGTGGGGCAATTGTTAACCTGGAAATGTTCCACCTGTGCTAAAGGAGCTAAGTATCAGGCAGGGCTGTAAGTGCCCGGAGCAGGGAAGGATCCTGCAGGCCCCAGCCTTGAGAATGGCTCCAAAGAAGAGGTGACTCTTAGTTGAGCCTCGAAGGACACAAGGAATTGTGTCACCTGCGAGACTCTGCTTCACCACAACCCCTACAGATCAGTATTCACTCGTCAGCAAAATACTTTGAGCAATAATCAGTGTGCTAATAACCACTCTCACCTCCAAAGGGCCAAACATTTTACCAAGACTGTCTTTTGTCTCACCAAACCCAAACCAAACTGACTGTCATTAAGTTGATACCAACTCATGGCGGCCCTATAGGACAGGAGAACTGCCCCAGTGAGTTTCTGAGACTGTAACTGTTTATGGGCATAGAAAGCCCATCTTTCTCCCAGAGAGCCACTGATGGCTTTGAACTGCTGACCTTGTGGTTGGCACCCCAACAAGTAACCACTACACCACCAGGACAGGGAGTGAACACTAAACATCAATTAAAAGGCAACTTTAATTGGTTTCACAAAATTAAAAGATAATTTCACTAAAAAACAACAACCCTAAGACTCCCATTGTAGTAATTTAGGATTGAAAAAGATTTGTTCCTGCAAAATGATCTGTGAGTTCGCTCTGAACGCCTCTCCACCACAGCGGAGTCCCACAGAGAAAGGTCATCTGTCTGTTTTAGAAAGGTCATGATTCTGAGCTGTTGGACATGAAAACATTTCACATATGTTTAATCACTTAAAATCCATCAGGAGAACTGGTTAATCAAAAGAAACCACCCCGTGAACACACTTCCACGATTTCAAAATCTTTTAATAAAGTGAACTCAGCTCCGTGCCTTTATTGCATTTTTACAAAATAATTTACATAATGCTTTCTTCAACAGACATACTGGTGGTTGGTAATGTAATCTTAATGCTCTGGATTGAAGAGACATCATAAAAATCTCCTAACACATTACAAATATTTGGTAAGAGGTTGTGTAGCAAGTATCCTCTTTTCACAGCTGGGAGAGGGTTCCTGGGTGTCCCGGACTCTGGTTTACTGTTTCTATGCTACACTCACTTCTAGTCAATCATTTCTCAAGTGCTGCCCTCTTCCTGCCATATTCAGTCAATCAGTCACCAGGCCTCATCTGTGCACCGCAGGTCCGCCAGGCTTATGGTCAAGGACTGCCTTTGCTGGAAGAGGGCCAGAGGACAGCTACCCCATAGCCACTCTGGGCTGCCACCTCTTCCTGACCACCTAGCTGTGTCTGGGCAGCCGGCTTTGGCTTTCAGGTTGTCCTGGCGCTGGCTCACTCCTGGCTGACTCCTCCATCCTGCTTCCCACTTCCAACTCCAATCCCAATAGAGTCTCCCCACACCAACAGGTATTGATCTTCAAACACACAGGCACAAAAGCCCTGCTTTCCTTTCTGGTCTGGTTTGGGCATGTCCATGCTTGATGGTCCCACGAGATAAAAACAGTTCATGCAGTCGGCTGCTAACCAAAGGGGTGCAGCTTTCAGTCCACCCGGAAGGGCCTCGGCAGAAAGTCCTGGCTCTCTGCTTCCTCCTCAACCAGCCGTTGGGAAGAACCTATGGAGTCCCGCTCTACCCCAGTGCACACGAGGTCTCACCGAGTCAGGGCCAACCGGACAGCAAGTGGGAATGCTGGATACATTATCCTGTGCTCCTTTCTCACATCTCACCCAGGGTGCCATGCAGGCTGCCGGGTTCGCTCGGGGTTCGCTCGAGTCCGATCATGATCCGAGAGTCCCCGCAGCCACCGGCAGCTTCTGCTCTACCAGGACCTGGCGGGCCCGGGTCTGAAGCAAGGCATGCACTCCGTCTGCGGCTACAAGGCTGCCGAGTGCGCTTCCTGGAGGTTCTCGTCGATCTTCAGGCCCAAGTTGTCGATGCCAATGACGGTGACCGGAGGCACGCTGCTCTCGGGCGGCTCGGCGGTGCGCGTGGGGCTGGAGCAGTAGAGGACGAAGCCCACCATGATGACGGAGAAGGACAGGATGTAGAGACCTGAAAACTAGGAGGCGAGAAGAACAGGCTGTGAGCTGTGGCGCACCCTCTCCTCCCTTGCGGCGGCTGTGCTTGGATCGCCCCTCAGATAGGAAGGGGCTTCGGAGGGTTTGTGGGAAGATGTCATGGGGAGACCACGAAGTTCTCCCACATATCTTTGTGAATGCCTGGGTTCTAGGAACGCCACTGGACCCTTGCATCCCGGGGTAATGGCGCCATTGTCTGGCATGCCAATCTGGCTGTGCACCGCCCCACTGACTGGAAGGGATCAGAGGGTCCCAGGAGAGAACCTCATACAGGACCCTCAGCACAGCTTGCCCTATTGGTGTGACACAAGACATACGCCCTAAGACAAAATGTATCCTGTACCAAGAAAGTTCATGTTGCTAGAATCTAATCAGTTGTCTTCTCTTTGTTGGCAAGTATTACATGGTAACATTGATGGTGGCCAGAGAAGACTCCGATTGTTACTTAGAAAGAGCCTCACTTACTCCCTGATATTGAGTTGATGTCAACTCATAGCAACCCTGTAGGGAAGAGCAGAACTGTCCCCAACGAGTTTCCGAGACTCTAACTCTTTACAGTCGTAGAAAGCCCCATCTTTCTCCTGCAGAGGAGGCTGGTGATTTCGAACTGCTGACCTTGCAGCGGCCCAACATGTAACCACTGCACCACTGAGGCTCCTTAGACAGAGCCGAAGACACCATTTGTCAGGGAGAAGTGAAAAAGAGCCTTAAGTGAAGCCAGAAGTCATTATTGACCTGAAATCTAATGAGAACGAGCTCGGGGAATCAGGGAGCGATGGTAGCAGGAGCATTATGACCGCCCTGAGGGGGAGTGAATTCTCAGCAATCTTCTCCAACCTAGTCTCCTCCTCCACTGAACACAGTGGAGACAGAGCACTTATCCATTTGGATATTTTTACTGAAAAATGACATCCTGATATACTCCAAAGTTTCCAGAAATTGTATTAAGGAGTACTTGGTATATTTGCATGTATTGAAATAGCCAATTCATATAAAAATTCAAATATACACAAAGTCAGTGAAACCCAAATTTGCGTATGATATGATGACGAAGGAAGCACAGAAGGAGACGAGCGAAAGACTGGTCACACATGGCATCGTCAAAATCCAGGGCACCACGAAGCAGAACGAACGTCCAGGATCGGTCAGTGCCCTGCCTTGGTGGGCGCAAGGCTCCATAATTTCCTGCCATTTGATTTACTTCTTTACTACACTCTGCACGGTGCCCAACACACAAACAAACAAAAAAAAACCAACCCAGGCCCATTGCCATCAAACCGATTCCAATTCATGCCAATCCCATATGTTACAAAGCAGACCCGCTCCCCGGGGTTGATTGTCTTTAATTTTTATAGAAGTAGATTGTCAAGTCTTTCTTCTGCAGTGCCACCGGGTGGGTTCAAAGCCCTAACCTTTAGCTGGGCAGGTGAATGTATATATGCTACTTGTAGCACCCAAAGACCTGTCCGATACATAGTGAGTGTTTAATAAATGTTCCTTGGAGGTGGGAAATGATTCAGAGAATATTAGGAGAAGTTATGTCTATTTGGGTTTGAAACCTTTCAAGTCACTATTATTTAATGCTGTCCTATTAAATGTTTACTGCTACCGGTGGTAAAAACCTATATAAACATGTTCAAGACATGTTCTCGCTGGTTTGGTGCTTTTTAAATGTTCAGAAGAAACCTTGTCCCCCTTGAGAAGGCAGCTGATTAAAGAGAGGCACCTTGTTAGAACGGAGAGGGTCTGGGGGAGGGAGGGAAGTCTTCTGAATAGAGAGGCTCTCCCCATTATCTTTTAAAAAGCCTACCCTTTGTGCCTGGATCCACACAGGAAATTTCTTGTGGCTTCTCTGTTCAGGAAGCATTGACTCAAGATCAATTCCAGGGGAGTTAGAGGACTGAAGGTTCTGACACAGAGAAGTGTAAAAAATAAAACTAAAGTTTCTTTTTATGAACTGGATCCT